ACATCTGATTGCTTCCCAGAGGGGTAACAAGTTCAGAGCAACCAGAAAGTAAAACTGATGGATACAGTATGCTAGAATATAAAGCTGGTATTTGTTAGAACTCAATGATACTTTTATTTAACCCTGTGATTGCAAGGGAAGTGTACAACAATGCATTTAGCTAAGCTATGTGCTCAATACACTTTTTATAACTAAATACCGGTAGAGCATTAAACTTGCAATCACTGTTCCTTTTTAATGTCTAAACCTTGCACAGAAATATGTGTATTTCTTCCCTTTAAAGGGAATCTGTAAATTACATAAGTGAATAAACCACTAGAGGGCACTTTCTGGTTTATAGCACATGTGAGGACTTCCACAGTCGCTAAAATCCCCATAGGAAAGCATTGAAAGCATGTTCAATGCTTTCCTATGGAGAGGTCTAATGCACGTGCGCAGCATTGCCACGCATGTGCATTAGGTCTCCCCAGGGCCGGTGCAAGGATTTTTGCCGCCCTAGGTAGGGGATGTGTTATGTGTTACTGTAGAGGATCTAATGTGTGTGCTTATGGAATGTAGTGTATAGGGATACCAGTTTGTGTAGGTGATGCAGTGTGTTTGTGTGTAGTGGAAGCAGTATGTTTTTGTGTAAGGGACAGAAAGCAGTGAGTGTTTGTGTATAACGGATGTATTGTGTGTTTCTTGTTGTGTGAATCTGTGTTTGTATGCATAAGGGATGCAGTGTGTGTGTCTGTAAGGGGTGCGTTGAGTGTGTGTAAGAGATGCATTGTGTTTCTGTGTGTGTGTAAGAGAAGCAGTGTGTGTTTGCATGTGTGTGTAAGGGATGCATTGTGTGTTTCTGTGTATATGTGCAAAGGATGCATTGTCTTTATGTGTAAGGGTTGCATTGTGTGTTTCTCTGTGTGTAAGGGAAGCATGTTGTGTTTCTGTGTGTATAGGGATGCATGTGTGTGTGTGTGTGTGTGCGCGTGGTGTGAAAGAGCTCCCTGTCCTGCCCCCTGTCCTATAGAGCTCTCCCTTCCATTCCTTAGAGATCTCCCCTGCCCCTAAGTGGTCTCTCCTCTCCCCCCACCTCCCTTAGTGGTCTCCTTTTCTCCCCGACTTTCCATTAGTGGTCTCTCCTCTCCCCCCACCCTCCCCTAGTGGTCTCTCCACCGTCCCCTCCCTCCTTTAGTGGTCTCTCCCTCCCCTACATTCTTATCTCCCACCCTCGTGTTCTCCTCTTCTTCTCCCCCGTCCCTGTAATCTCTTCTTCTCCCCCCTCCCTGTAATCTTCTCCCCTCCCCCCTTGTAATTTTCTCTTCTTCTCCCCCCTTCCCTCCCTGTAATCTCTTCTTCTCCCCCGTAATCTTCTCTTCTTCCCCCCGTGTTCTCCTCTTATTCCCCCCTCCCTGTGCTCTCCACTTCCTCCCCCCTCCCTGTGTTCTCCTCTTCTTCTCCCCCTGTCCCTGTAATCTCTTCTTCTGCCCCCCTGTAATCTTCTCTTCTTCTCCCCCCTCCCTCCTCCTGTAATCTTCTTCTTCTCCCCCCCTCCCTCCCTATAATCTTCTCCCCTAACCTTCTCCCTCCATCTTTTACCACTCCCTCCCTCCCTGTAATCTTCTCCCCTTATAATCTTCTCCCTCTTCTCCTCCCTCCTTCCTGTAATCTTCTCCCCCCCATCCATCTTTCCCCCCCTCCTCCATCTTCCCCCCCCTCCCCTATAATCTTCTCCCCTCCCTCCCTCCTTGTAATCATGTTCTACTCACCTCCCCTTCCCTGTAGCGTGGCCGAGCTCCTCTCCGGTCCGCGACCCGGCTGGACTGACAGGAAGTGCACACTCAGTGCGCTCTATAGAGCGCTCAGACGGCTGCAGAATTTAAAGGGTCGGCGATGGGGGCGCAGGGCGCCCACTCCTATATGGCGCCCTAGGCGGATGCCTAGTTTGCCTTATATGAAGCGCCATCCCTGGGTCTCCCCCGCCGACGGCCGCGCATTCACAATCGGTCTCCCCCACCGAATGACAGCGGGGGAGGAGAGTGGGCTGACCCTAAACCAGCGCCAAAGGACATCGGTGCTGGTCTCAGGCATGTCACCGAAGGGGTTCTAACCCCTTCAGCAACTTGGGATGGGGGGTGGGAGGGAGAGGCAACCTGCAGTGCCAGGAAAACGATTTGTTTTCCTGGCACTGGAGTGTCCCTTTAATGCGCATGAACGGCAATGGCTGTGCTTGCATTACGATTTTCTGATAGGAAAGCATGATTCCGGTGACGCTGGAAGTCCTCATACATAGCGTGATGACGTCCAGCATCATTTAGGCGACCAACAGTCGCCTAAAGACCCGGACGTCCATCTAGTGGCTGTCTCCGCCGGCTTCCTCTCGCGAGATCCGGAGGGTTGCTCCGATTCTCGCAAGAGTGAACTCTAACCGCACAGGCTAGAGTTCACTCACCACTAGGACTAACAGGGATGGCAGCACGGCCCCCCCCCCTCCCAGGCCAAAGGGGGGATACAATGCCTTTTTTTATTTTTTATTATTATTATTAACAAAAATATATACATACCCCACAAAAAATAAATATTAGTAAAACCTGCCTCCCCCAACACACAATCCCTCTAAATACACACCACATACAGCACCCTAACACACACAGCACTCTCACAAACACACACACACACCCATCACTGTCACACAACACCCTAACACACAGCACCTTCACATATACACACAATGAACTCTAACACACACACACACCCATCACTCTCACACAGCACCTTCACACACACACACAGCACCCTAACACACACAGTCCCCTCGCACACATATCACCCTAACACACACAGCACCCTCACTCACACACAGCACCCTCACACGCACACCTCACACACAGCACCCTCACACACTACCATAGACAGGCTCCAAACACATGCGCAGTACACTTTAATGGATTTTTTGTCTCGAGGTAGTCCATTTATGGAGACACCATAGACAAATTTCAAGCAAACAAAACACAAGCATGTTATTCAATTTGCTTGCGCTGTGCAGAACAAATACAGGGCCTTTTTCTCATGCTAGAGCTCTTCAGCAGACTGCGCATGGTCTACCCTGAAAGAACATTGAAGCAAAGGCTGGAGCCCATTCTTTGGTGTCTAGCAGTTGGGGAAGCAGAGACTGCTTCCTGCTCCCCCTTCTGCATGAAGCCATTTCTGGTCTAGGCCGGCAGACCGTCTTCGTGGTTGCTGATTCAATGGGGATGGAGGCACATGCTCCCCCAGCCCCCGCCAAGTGGCAGGATGGTAGAGCAAATATTTTTTTGTATACAATTGAAAGGTTTACCAACCAAATTCTATCACTTCAATTTAATAACTATATGAACATGAAATATTGGTGGAATACATTCACTGAAAAACAGTATGCACAGAAAATGACAGTGGTAAACAACATGTATAAAGGGTAACATTGTTTTAGTGAAAATAGTAATATGACAACAAAGGTGAGGAAAATAAGGACAGTCTTCCAATGTTTGCCAGTACCTTAAAGTTGCAAAAGTCTGAGTTTTTGCTGTGTGCTAGGTTTGTGAATCAAGGCCCGAACGTTGCATTTATAATGTGGGGCTTAAACATGTATCAGACTTCCATCATAACACTGTCTGATAAAAAAAAATCAAATAGGAGCTCCAAAGGGTTCCAACACAAAGGACAGTTTTTAACCCTGAGGACATCGAAACGCGTAGGTCCAGCGAGAGAACTTGTACAGAAGGACTTGTTGCTGCAGGACCGAGATTGTGCGTCACCCCCGTATTTGATTTGCTCAATTTATGTTTTAAAATCGATAATGAATAAAAGCTTGCATTCAATTCTCATGTATTACGATCTGAACTATATACGTTTCCTCTTTTCGTTGGTCCAAATTTGGAAGAAAGAACAGCTCACTGGGGGTACTATATATATTCCCTTATGAATAGCGATGTTTATTACAAATAGTGAAGAATGCTACAGTCGCTCTAGCCAGAAAGGGAACAGACCCCATAATTGTCCAAACTGGCTTAGTGGAATTACATAAGGTGCTGTTCTTTCCTGGAATGCAGACTGCTTACATTCTTCACATTCTAAGGAATTTGCTGTGGTCTTGAATGGGTTACAGTCCTGTTCTTTCATCTATTGGAAAACAAGTGCCATATGAAAGATTGGCATTGAGAGGAGGGGGCAGGGCAGGGGTGCATGAGAGTTAGGACATACAAGACGTGATGTTGCTAAAACAATGGCTAGTTACTGTACACATACATTCCTTTGATCCAGGCTTTGTTGGAATTTGGCAGCCAAATAACTTGACACTGTGATTAAAAGAAATCCCAATGATAAATGGGATTCTACCTATCATAAATATACAAAAGCGTTTATACTGTGTTTCATTATTGTTTTGTGGTTTAGTCACGATGTGATTTGGCATGAGATGGTAAAAGTGTTAGTAAAAACACAAAAAAGTCAGGCCGACCATGGCAGATAAAATTAGCAAGCAATACACTAGGGTCTCAACTAAAATCCATTCAATATGCAATGGAGGCTGTGCTCAGTTGTGCCCTATGATAACAGAGAATAATCTCAATGAATGGTGACATGTTGGTTTGTGGATCCCATTTTGGTAATTACAGTACATGCAATTCTGAGAGATATTTCTATCAATGCAGCCTCGGCTTACATCAATCACTGCGACCGAGATCTTCCCAATATGGAGTCAGGTGGGGCGGAGCATAACCAACGAGCTGGCTGGACGTGCTCTGCTAGAGCCCCTGCCACACGAACCCTAAATCTGCAGATTAATCGAGCTACAGAGCCCCAATGCTCCTGGGACCTGGCCAACGGCATGAGGGAACCCGGCCGGAATCGAATGATGCCGCACTCGACACCCGGGACGACAGGCACCGCCACGGCAAACTGAGGCCTACCAAGGGAGGCGGAGGAGAAGAACGGTGGCTTTCCCTCAGATCGCAGCCAGCAGCACGCGAGCACACACTTCCCCCCTGAGCCGTAGCGAAGGGCCACCAGCTCACGCACGGAACCGCAGCAGGAGGATACAAGCAACCCACCACAGACCCAGGTGGCCCTCAGGGGCACTGGTCTCACGTTCCATCTGGAGACACTGGGTCTTGGGCGCACTGACTCAGGCCCACAATGCAACCTGGAGCACATGGGATGGCAAGTCCGACCTACGCTTACAGTCTTTGCAGGAACACACCCGGACGCATCCGATGGCGCCCAGGAGCCACACGACCATACCAAGCCGAGGCATTGGCTGACAGTGCCACATGTCCCCGAGCGCGGTACACGTGTACATACACAAGGACTTGTGCCTCCTTATAGCTTGTCAGGTTCTAGTGAAATACTAACGTTAATTTTTGTGCATCAATATTTTTCTGTTTAAATCTCTTCTATATGCCTAGCAGCCTGCTCAGAACTGGTTATTCTGGCGGGATCTAAACAATAGGAAAAAAAAACAAAAAACCCTCTTTAAGCCAATGTTACACTGCCTCACTCACCGCCTAAGATATATCACACTCTATCTCTATATGAATACTCAATGTTTTATCTAATTACATTATTCTTAGAAACGTATTAGCTATGTTAAGCAAGCTCAAAGAACAAAAAAATGTGCAATTTTAATATGCCACTGTTTAACTTGATTACATGAGATCATATATGATTACGCTGTTGTGGCGTCTGACAAAGCTGTGTACACTTCTGCACAACAACAAAAAAAAAAATTAAAAAAAAAATATGGAGTCAAATTGTGTACTTATGTTTTTAAAGATCTCTATTGTGCAAGATTCGGACCATCAGGCCATTTGAATGTATAATGTGTCTAGCTTTGAGGAAATTCTAAACTTTATAAATAAATAAAGATAACAACATATATTCGAGTAACTGAGGACATTTTTTCTTGATGTTTTTTCCTTGTGATTGGGTCAGCCAAAAGAATTCCCTTGGATTTAAACCCTGCATTTTATCTGTTCCCTGGTTCCAAGCATTCTGATTTCCCCTCAGGACAAAAGATGAACATTCGGCACAATCTCTAAACATTTGGCACATATGGTAGCCATGCTAGTATACTACAAGCAGCAGCTTCGCAAAGACTTCGCAATGCATGTGGTTCTTGTTACTGTATTGTTGACAAATAATGAGCACCTATTAAAAAAAAAAAGACCTCTCGTGGTGATAACTGACCATAATGCTGAACTGTGCTCTAAACAGGGGGAAACACATTATCTAGTTTACCAGCCAGCATTTCAAAGGTTTCCTTTTTAATGTGCCAATTAATGATTGGTCATCAAAAAGATCAATCAGGTTCTGGCACGTTGTCCATCCTTTATCCCCAAATAGTGAGCTGCTATATGGTACAGTCACCTAGAGAGTTAGCTTTATTGCTTCCTTTGGCACTTAAAGTGTTAAACTACAAATAAAAGCATTAATATATGTGGGTAGTAATATTACATGGTCAGAAACTGCATTGTTGGCTTTTAACACCTGTCCCGATCTCAGCAGGGAAGTAACTTTTAATTTTGTATTAAACCTACCCTTATTGTATTGGTCAGTATAACTTTTACTACACTGTAATGATTACAATGAGGTGACCACCAATTCCCAATTAAGATTGGATGATTATAGGAAGAAAAAAAACAACTAAATTTTGGGGTGTTTACTAAAGTGGGAATAGGCCCAGAGGAGGCGGGCTGAAAGCTAGCCGGATAGGAGGCATGTGTGGGTGTGGTGGGTGTAGGTGTCATAAGTGGGTGTGTCAATTAGAGTAAGGGATGGGTGTGGTCCTTTATATACCAGTCATTTTGTCTCCCTTACCTCAGCCATCTTAGATTTAACGGCGTGGTAACATCTCTGCATCCTCCTGTGCTTACCACTGCTTGTCAAACGGTCAAGGGTATGGATATTGATGCAATCCTCGCTGCCCTCCGGGCTGAGGCCCTTCAAGATGGTGGACGGCACCTGCAGTCACAGCTAGTACGCCTGCAGGGTGCTCCTAGTGTGGCTGCTCCCTCTAATGGCAGCCCTGGGAACCAGGGTGCTGATCTTGTGGCTGCTCCCTCTAATGGCGGCCATGGGAATCAGCGCCGTCGCGCACGTCCCTCTGCCCGGTATAGCCCCTCACGGGAGGGTCGGGTGAGGGAGAGGAGTAGGAGCCCTGTTGCAGGCCCGCGCGCCGGTTCCTCCGCGGCCGCGGCCAGCACCTCCTCCCGTGTGTCCACACGCCGGATTGCCGCCGGTCATGCCGCATCGCGGCTACCACCCCCCCGGTCTCGCGGGCTCGGCGGAGGTCGGCCGCGAGAACACAGCACCTCACCGCACAGCGGGCACTAATCACCAGGTCGGCCTTGGCGGGATCAACGGCTGTGCAAGGGCGGGTGGCCCGCTCTCCCGGTCGGGTAAGTAGGCCGCTGGTCGGCAGGGCTGTCTCCAGGGGGGTGGGGGGTTCTGGGGCACTGGGCAGGGAGTATGCTTCCCCTAACTTACCTCTCAGGCCTCCCCCTGCTCTCCCTCCACACTCTGTCTCCCCTGGAGCTGCTCCTGCGCCTGCTCCACTGTCTGCTGGACCTGTCCCTGTGGCAGCTGGGTCACACTCTGCCCCTCCTCTTCTCCCTTCCTCCTCAGCTGCCCCCATCATGGCTGGGGCCCTTTCAGGGTCTCCTGGGCCTGCCCCTCTCAATTTCCCTGCCTTGCCCGCTGACCCACTCATAGCTGGTGCCCAGCTTGCCCCCCCTGGCCCACTTCAGACCACGTTGCCCCCCATTCATCCTGCCACTCTTACAGCAGGGGCCCATTGTTCCCCCACAGGGCCCTCCCCTACCGGTTTCGTTTCTACTGGGGTGGGTGGGCCGGGGTCCATCTCACCTGTGTTGTCTTCGCAGATTACTCCTGGTAGGCTCTCGGTTCGTTTTGCTGACGTTGCGGCTGGTGCAGATCCTCCTGCAGTCGCTGTTCCAGCTGGGCCACCACAGTCTAGCGGCCAAGTCGTGGCTCCACAGATGGCTTCACCTTCGGTTCCCGCCAGTGAGTATATTAGTTTACAGGGTTTGGGGCCGGGGTGTGTTAGCGCAGTCATGCCAGAATGGGATTCGTTGCTGCAAACTATGCGACAGGTTTTGCATTCTTTGGAAAAGGGCCCCCCCTCTGGGGCCCCCCTCACCTCGACTTTAGATAACCAACTTAGAACGGGTTGGGCGACTAGCGGAGGGTCAGGTGTCCCGCCTTCTACTTCGGCTGTCTCAGGGGGGCCTACTGCCCTCCTAGAATCTTTGCCTGCCGCAGGAGAGCTCGGAACCCCCGTGGGGTCAACAGTGACCCCCACTGCGGTTCAGGACTTGGGGGTTGCACCCGCTGCGCACGGGGCGGCTTACATGTGTTGGTCAGGCCCCCTGGGCCTCCATTTGACAGCTGAATTGCGGGCCAAGATAGAGAAAGGGGAATTTGTCGAAATTTTTTCCCTTCTCCCTATGGAGGACTTGCCTCGGGTTGATCCTGCAGCAAAGGAGTCAGAAAAGGAGAAAGAGAAGTTTCGGTATCGGAAGATACCAAAAACTTTTGGGAATTGGATCAGGGCCTTTTCTATCCTGGCTAGCGTTATAGGGGAAAAGACTCCCAACAAATGCTCTTCTCTATTTTGCTACCAGGATATGATCTGGAACGCGTGTCGGGTTTATGGCGGGTTAGGCTGGTGGCGGTATGATGAACAATTCCGCCAGCGCCTAGCGGTGCGCCCTTCCCTGAGTTGGGATCAAATGGATATCGGCTTGTGGTTGGCCATCATGACCCGTCCCGCTTCACATCAGGGGGGCCTGTCGTCCTTTCTTGGGGGGGCCGGCGCAGGGTCCTCACCCTCCGCGTCGGCCACTCAGCGTAGAACAGGTTGCTGTTGGCAATTTAACGACGGCCAGTGTAAATTCGGAGCAAATTGTCGCTTCAAGCACGAATGCTCCGGTTGCGGCGGGTCCCACCCCGCTTCTAAGTGTTTTAAGCGGGGTAAGTTTGGCGACAAAGGGGATGCCATGGGCGCTAAGGGCGAAGACGCCGGTGGACGTCGTCGCGATGCGTCCGTGGCTAAAACGTTATAGGAACAAAAAGGCGGCTGCCTTGCTCCTGGAAGGGTTTACTCATGGTTTTTGGATTCCCCATCGGGCTCGTTCGCCCTCAGGGTCGTGTCGGAACCTGCGTTCTGTTGCTGAACACCCAGGGGTGGTAAAAGACAAGCTGGCTAAGGAAGTGGCATTGGGCCGCATGGCTAGCCCTTTTCGTGAACCCCCCCTTCCTGACCTTCGAATATCGCCACTAGGCGTCGTTCCCAAGAGAGAGCACGGGAAATTTCGGCTAATTCATCATCTCTCGCACCCCCAAGGGGGTTCCGTGAATGATGACATTGCGGCGGAGCTATGCCGAGTTTCTTACGCCTCGTTTGATACTGCGGTTGGTATGGTTAGGGCCGCGGGCCCCGGTGCACTGATGGCAAAAACCGACATTGAGTCGGCTTTTCGCCTCCTGCCGGTTCACCCGGAGTGTCATCATCTGCTCGGCTGTTCCTTTGAAGGGCAATTTTACGTGGATATGTGCCTCCTGATGGGTTGTGCAATATCCTGTTTTTATTTTGAATGTTTTAGCTCCTTCATGGAATGGGTAGTGAGAGCTGAGTCTGGCTATGACTCAGTGCTTCACTATTTGGATGATTTTCTTTGTGTGGGTCCCGCGAACTCCCCGGTATGCGCGCACATTTTGCAATCGGTAGCCGACGTGGCCTGTGGGTTCGGCGTGCCTCTGGCGCCCGATAAGACGGTGGGCCCTTCCCCGTGCTTGTGTTTTCTTGGAATTGAGATCGATTCGGTTATTGGGGAATGTCGCCTCCCGCCGGATAAGTTGGAGGATCTGCGGGGGGCTGTGCGGGAGGCGATCTCCCTCCGGAAGATTACTTTACAACGGCTTCAATCCCTTCTTGGCAAGTTGAATTTTGCATGTCGGATTATGCCTATGGGTCGAGTGTTTAACCGGCGCCTAGCGGCCGCCACGGCAGGAATTGTAAAATCATTTCATTTTATCCGCTTAACCAAAGTGCTCAAGGAGGACTTGGCAGTATGGATGGTTTTCTTAGATGGGTACAATGGCAGGTCCTATTGGCAACAACCAGAGGTGTCGAATTCTGTGCTACACCTGTTTACTGATGCGGCAGGTGCATCAGGATTTGGGGCTATCTTAGGGACGCAATGGTGCGCGGAACCTTGGCCTGAGGCTTGGGTTGCTGCTGGCCTTACCAAAAATATGGCCCTCCTTGAGCTCTTCCCCATCGTGGTGGCAGTTCATTTGTGGGGAATGGAGTACAGGGACCGGCGCGTCGTCTTCCATTGCGATAACTTGGGGGTGGTGCAGGCCATTAATAATCTAACGGCCTCCTCCCCTCCGGTGGTCAGGCTCTTGCGGCGTCTGGTCTTACGATGCTTGTCATTGAACGTTTCATGCCGCGCTGTGCACATTCCAGGTGTTGTGAATACCACAGCTGACGCTCTCTCTCGTTTCCAATGGCAGGTATTTCGATCGGCTGCTCCGGAAGCGGATCTGGAAGGTCTCTCCTGTCCCGCGGAACTCTGGTCCCTTGGCCTGAACGAATAAGGGAGTGGATACGGTCGTCGGTATCAGAGGCAACATGGGTCCGGTATGGTAAGGCATGGGGTGATTGGGTCGCACTGGAACAGGATTGCGGTGGGTTCGGCTCCTCTGACGAGAGGGTCCAGGGTCTGTTACGGTTGCTCTGGTTCTGGGAGGCTAGCGGGTGTTCCCCAGCTACGGTGTCAGGGAAGCTCTCAGGCCTTAGTTTCTGGTTCAATTTAACCCAAGTACCCGATGTGACGAAACACTGCATGGTGAGGCTTGCGATGCGCGGTTGGCGGAAAGGCCCGATGGTGCGGGATACTCGGAGGCCGGGTTCGGGCGCGCTCCTGTTAGGGATCGCCTCGGTTCTCCCCCAGGTCTGTTTTTCAACTCCGGAGGCTAGATTGTTTTTGGTGGCGTTTACTTTCGCCTTTTTTGGGGCTCTTCGGGTCGGAGAACTGGTGAGCCCTAGCAGGGGGACCCCTGGGGGGCTTTTATTTCAGGACGTGTTTGTCACGGGTACTACGGTGCAATTTTTGTTGCGCCGGTCCAAGACCGA